TCAGGATAAACTAGAAGAATATGAAGTCCCTCCAATTTTGGTTTCCCTTATTGTATTCATGCACCCAAATTCACACATAGATCTAAGAAATTTATAGAAAGATTTGATAAGAAAATAATATCTAATTTATTGAATCATATTTGGCCGTTTATCTACTACTTGGTCACGGCGCTTGTATAAAACTGAGTTCGTATTTTATTAAAGCTTGCATAGTAAGATAGTATGCAATAATTATCTCAAGCACTTGCGTGGTTCAAGACAATACAAACATACAAGAACTATATATATGATCCCGGGTATGCATGGCCCCGATTCCCGTCGATTCGGTTCCCGTTGAAAATCGATTCGTGGCGATTCGGTTCAAACAACCGACCGATTCATGTTTGATTTGATTGTTAATTATTGCCGTGTTCAGGTTCCTTAAAATCCTGGTCGATTCAATCCGATTCGATTCCAAACGATTCTATTTTTTCCGATTCCGGACCGGTTCGGTTCCTTATGTGCAGCGGTTTAGGTTCCTGAACCGTTTTGGAACCATCCTGAAATCGTCTACTGCCGGTGTTTCAGACGCGAGTTCGAAAGCTGGTCAAGTTCCTTGGGGTCGAGACCACCAATAGTGATCTACAATGATCAATAGTGATGTACATTGATGTACATATACATGATCTACATACATAATATATATATATATAACTTATATTAAATTATATATATAACTTATTATATTAAATCATATATATATATATAACTTATTTTATTAAATCATATATATATAAAACTTATATTGAGTTACATATATATATATATACACATATAATTTATATATAATTTATATTAAATTCATATATATATATATATTTATACATTATATGTATGCATTTGTCCATCATCTGCCCACCTTACTATCGCTGGGTTGCGGCCCGGGCCCGGGTACGCCCGTGGGGTCTCAGGTTGTTTCTGCCTATAGAGGCGGTCTTTAGCTTAGCCGCCTGGCAAAACTGGGACCGGCCACGAGCCTCAGAGTAGGGAATTTTAATGGATTTATTAGATGATCTTAGATTCTCTTCGAAAATCTGGTTATATTTTATATAATAATTTAATATATATTATATAATAATTTAATATATATTATATAATAATTTAATATATATTATATAATAATTTAATATATATTATATAACAATTTAATATATATTATATAATAATTTAATATATATTATATAATAATTTAATATATATTATATAATAATCTGTATATATATATATACACATAATCTTTCTTGATCGTCGACAAACTCAGATGATTTTAGACAATCTGATGACTTGGAAAAACCACCGCATCGCCGGTTTGGTCCTTTTTAAACCATCGCATCCATCTGTGGATGTCTGAAAATAGTGTACCCCTAAACCCAATGGTTTTGCTGATCATTATCCCTATTAAATGGCTATAATTGGGAATATACCCTATTTTCAGACAAACCCATCTCCAGCTCTGAGATCCGGAAGTTTGGAGATTTCATCGGGGATTTGTTTCTGCATCCGCGCGGCCATGCTTGGCAGCAGCTGATGGTGTTCTGCATCTGCACTGCAGGAGCTGCATGGCGACCGATTTTAGGTGATACCGGGATAGCCCAAGGCGGATCTTCAAACGGGCTGAAGTTTTGGAAATCCGGCCTTTGTGGAAAATAATGGGCAAATTTTATTTAATGCTCTTTTGGAAATTTGACACAAGTTTTTGTCAAACAGGCTGATCTCAGAAGAAACTGGCCAACTCCCTTTGGATATGTTTGTCTCAACGGATGAAAATCCTGATGGAAATTGATTGGGTCTCCTTTTGTGAACAAGTTGCCAGCCAGATGTCGAGTGGAGTCTTGGTTTTCACATTCTACACAAATAAACAGAGATAATCGACAAAAACACCGGTAGGTTTGACCGCAAAACGGTCGCAAAAACCCAGCAAACGGGCACACATATCCGCAAAAGGGCGCAAATCAGGAAAAGTGTCCATGCATGCTTTATTTCCTACAGTTTGGAATTTGTGTTGCACAGCGCAAAAGGGCACGTGCCAGCGGGTAACAATGGGTTTTACTCTTTTGGTAGGGTTGTGCAAGTCCTTCTGCAAACGGTTTCCATTGCGCATCTTGACTTGGAATTTGGGGTGACAAAACCTGACCCGCTGACAATGGACTGGGCAGCGGGCACTTTTGGCGGAAAGAGGGCAGTTCTCAAACAAAACAAGCGGGCATTTCTTGTTGAAGCGACCAAACATCACAAACGGTGGGTATATGACTGGTTTGACCATCCCCCGAGTTTACGAATATTTAGCAGAGCCTTTAAATACCCTTTTTGATCGTATAACAGATGATTCAAGCAAGAAACATGGGGATTCGTAACACTGTATAACCGTTCACCATTTTCAAACCAAGCATTTGAGGATGATAGATGAAGGGATGAACCCCCGGCGGGTACGCAGTGACAAGTAGGAACCGAGATACACTGGATCTATGGAGGCCTTGATGGCATCAAGTGCTGAAAGTTCCACATTCTGTCCATCCCTTTTTGCATCCCTGGAATGATTGAGGTGCCAGCATTTGACGGGTGACAGGGTTGGGGACTGCGTCAAAGAAAACGGTTGGAACCAGATCAGGGTCGCCTCCCCTTGCAGATTGCGGAGCCGAAACCATAGCATGCAGATACACCAGAGCATCAGCCAACACCATATTAGTTCCGGCTTTACACAATAAAATACATAATATATAAAGTCATATAAAGTCATTTTTTTATACCAGGTATGGACCTCACCAAATTTTATCTCATCTTAAACAGCGCATGGATACTCCATGGTTTCATGGGGCTCCAACAGCTCGAGGAGTTGTGGCTTCTGGAATGTCTGTGAACTCTCAACGCTGGTGTGTAGCTCGTCTGCCTGGATTGATGGTTTGAATCCCATTCAAACACATGGTTTTTTATTGGGGGATGGAAGATAAGTTATATGGATCCTATGGCTGATAAATATGGCAACATAATGTAAAATATGATAAAATATGGATCCTATTGCTTTACTCATCTTTCTTTTGCAGCCAAGCGACGGTGTTGCAAGTTAGTTTGCAACACATTTTCAATGGCTGGTTTCGGAGATCCGTTCTGTTCATCTCTACTTGCCCTTGGATCATGATCCCCCACACGTTTTTCGTTAGCGGATTAGACCGATTCTTTTTTGGACGGACCAGTCGTAAGTGATCCTTCAAGTGAACATCTAAAAGAATCTAAAAGACTGTTTTCAATGGATTTCGACGCTGGATCTCAACAGTCAGTGTTTGATTTCATCGGAATCAGGAAGTTTCCACTTCATAAACGCTTTGACTTCGACAATTCTAGTAAGCAATCGCAATTAAGCCCCTAGACTCTAGACAACCTTTAGCCAACCATCATTTAAACCGTGTACACTTCAAGCAATCTTACATCCATCCAGCCACCAAATACCAATTCCGCATTACCAAGGAACATATGGGTGGCAAGCTGCCCAGTTTGGTCTTCGGTATCGCTGTTGGAAGCTTGGCTTCAAAAACAGCTAATAGGCTATATAATTAGGGATCATCCGCATGATCTAGCCAATGATCTTCAAAAACCTGGGACTCATTTCTCAAAACATGAATCCTATGATGATGCTGAGCAATGGTGGTTTTTATGGTGGTTTATCACAACAAATGATTTTCAGCAGAAATGGGACATGATCCCCAATGACCAATGGCATAGGAAAATGATACGAAATCACATAGAAATAATGATCAATAAGGGATGAGGTTGCCCCTGTGGGGTAGGCTCCAATGATCAGCTCCTCCCAAAAGAAGTTCTGCAACCTGCGAGGAACAGCGTCACTGGCGATCGTTGGCTCGTGTCTCGGCTCCTGCCCAAGGGGTAGTGTTTTTCACACCATGGGTGAATGACCAGCAACGATTGGAGGTTTACCCTCTGGTTATGACTAACATAGCCATGGTATAGATGGCCCATTTATAGATGGTTTACCTTTTAAAAATGGTGATTTTCAATGGCTATGTTAAATAATCATATGGTATTTTGCTATGTTTTTATATGATACCTCAATTCTCCTAGAAATCTGGGGCTGACAATTATTACATATTACCATATATAACATAATACAACCGCGTTACTAGTGGGGGAATGTTTTTCAAAAGTTGGGGGATCGCCTGAATATATTTGAGTCTGAATTTCATGAGCTATTGCTGTTATATCTTCAGCATATCATCATGTATCAGAGTCATGACTCGCAGTGGTCCCTTGTTTCTAAGAAGAGCTAGGAATAGCATGAAATAGCTATGTAGGTGCCCCTCCAGCATAGTTAGGTTAGTTGAAATAGTGCACTCGGCAAATTCTGGTTTATATACTGTATACATGTTTATGGTAGATCTATTTGGACTTATGACTTAATGTGGTAAAAATAACTTGCGGCACCCCCTTGTCGACGGTGAAAGAAGGATTAGAGTTGGTTTGATACCCTGGGGCATCTCTGGGAATTCACAATCATAGAATTAGATACTGGTTGGTGATTTGGAACATTACTTTTATTTTTCCATTGAGTTGGGAATGTCATCATCCCAGGTGACGAACTCATATTTTTCAGAGGGGTAGGTCAACCACCAACCAGAGATACAAAGTACACAAAATTTCATTGTTATTCCATTATCGAAGGTAAATGTAAGACATTGCTGAATTGCAATGATCATAGAACTGATTATTTACCCTCATGGCTAGCTGGAAAATCTACTAATTTATAAATTATGTTCTCATTTAAAACACCATTTACAGATGATTTTCCCACTTGAATCACCATTTATATATATGGCCATATATATATATTTTTTAGATGTTTTTTTTTTTCCGATTTACAACGCCATTAAAACATATATCAAGGCCTCCATGGCTCCGGGGATTTCCCACGGTTTCGGGGCGTCAGGATCTGCCACCCGCTGATTCCTTGGATGCTGCTGGCCGTGTTGTGTGTCCTGGCCCGGACGCCGAAGGCTGAAAGGGCCGACAAGGCCGAGGCCGGTAGGTAGGCCACGGCTACTTTTCGGCCAAGAAATGAAGGACTGATGGATGGTTTGATGTGATTTTGGATGGATGTTCCATGAATTTGAGTGATTTTGATGTGGTTTTGATGTTCCATGGAACTAGGATTTTAGATGATTTTAGCGAATTTTCATGAAAGTTAGTGGACTTTACTTGGTTTTAGTGGACTTGAAGCGGATATTCATGGATTCCAGTGGTCTCTACTTGATGGCAACATCGCCCAGAGTGTTGGTGACAAACACCAGCTGGAAATGCCAGAAAAAACAGATGTTTGTGCCCACAAGTGCCGGGCAAGCACCATTTCAAACACATCTTTTGTGGAGAATTTGGGTCATCAAGTTCACATCTTTTGTGGAGAATTTGGGTCATCAAGTTATCCAGTTTTGGATCATAGGAAACTGACGACGGTCTCTGCTGAAAGTCATTGGAGTTTAGCACCTCCACAGCGCGTTTGCTTCAATGTTCAAATACCTCAAGCCCACAGATTGGCTGGTCATCTAGTACAAAACGATGTTTTTTGGGGTGCAGTTTTCTGGTTCCTCTTCCCGGTCCGGTCCGAGAGACCGATGCCAAGAGACCAGGGTCAATCGATGCTTCCCAAGTGCACTTGTGGTTCACATCCAGGCGTTGCAACTTGCGGCAGAAAAGATGAGCCAATCCTGGGTGGTCACAGCAATTTTGGGACACTTCCTGCAACTTGATGGATTTTGAGTGGCACCATTGGTTACTGTACATGACATTGGTAGGCTTAAAAAACCTGATGAAAAACTAGTTGCAGGCATTGGAAGCCAAATGTGTTCATGTCAGTCTACAGAGCCCATGAAACCAACTAGGTCTGTCCCTGTCCACAGAGATCCTGAAAACTTGATGGTTGATGATCATTGTCCCATTTTTCACCATTGAACTGGCCATCAATTGAGTTGTTCCCCATGTTTGGACACTCCCAACTGCGGAGGGATTTGATCAGATGCCAACTGTGTTTTCTGCCTGGTGGTTTCCACCTCGCCGAGTACCGAACCACTTCTTTAATGGCTTTTTCTCATAGTCCAGTCCATTGTGGGAATAGTTCTGAACATCACACTGATCAACCCAAAAGTGATCACACTGTGATGGGTGATTGGCATGGTAAGCCAATGGTATCAACCCGAACTGTTGAAGGATGTTGACAATCTCTGGAATTTTCCGCTTATCTCATTGCCTCAGTTTGCCATCTTTGAATGGATTGGTTGAAGGGAAACTCTGAATCGGAAACTATGGATTTTCTCATGGAAATATGAATTCAATATGGTGGGGGGTCCTGTAAATTTTCCCTTAAACCAATCCCAATCCTCGTTCGGCCGAATGGCCTGTGCTGAGGTGGATATTGTCTCCGATTTTGTGAGCGATACCGTGAGCGGCATCGCCGATGGCGTGCATGGCATGCTGAACTTCGCCCCTTGGCACCGGTGCTTAAGCAGCCTGCAAAACACCTGTTGATGGACATGATTAACACATATTAATAAAAACTTGAGTTTTGCCATGAAACATGTTGGAAAATTGATTTATACTATTCAAGTCAATATTAATTGGGGATGAATACGGATCCATTCATTGTCGCCATAAAATCAAAACCAGTATACACCATAAAGCCACTTCATGTTCGGGACGATCACCAGGGTCAGGTCCTAATTCCATTGGAACCAACTGGGGGTGCTTGAAATTAGGATGGGAAACCAGGGGTGACCAACAATGACCAACATGGTTCCACACATACGCAGAGGATGATCAGTTCTGGAGGGATGGTTTGCACCGCAACACGCCTTTTTTTGCGATCGAAACAGCAAGGTTTTTCTGGAGGAATTTCTAGTTTTGAATATGGCTTCATCAATCATTATTTCGCAATGGTAAGATGTTATAAGTCCATGTGCTCTCCATTTAACATAGCCACGGAGCATCACCCTTTAAATAGGTAAATTGTAGATCATCATAAACCATTTATGATAAATGGGCCATGGCTTCCATAGCTCGTTAAAGAACCAGAGGGTTACCATCAACTACGAGTGATTTGTTGGTACTGGATGTGCCAGGTGCGTTGTGGAAAAAACATGTCTTGTCCCAATCGCTTGGGATGAGAACGATTGATTTACTGTGCTGTATACAGAACAATTGTGACACAAATTCCTGATGAGCATGATGATACTGTTGACAATGAATAATTATCACTAAGACTAAGAATACTATATTTGAATGATACATAAATATATATATATATATATGTATTATAGATATTATATATTATATTATATTATATATATATGTTATGAGAATTGTAAGATCCAAGGCTACACGAGTCTCAGACACGGGGAAACCCCAGACTTCAGGCCACTGGCTCGGACGATGCAAGCGGCGCAGCGGCTGGGGTACAGGAAACGCATTTGGCAGCTTGGAAAAACCATGGCTGATCTGATGGGAAACCATGGTTATCTAATCTATGGTTACAACATGTTTTACAACTGCAGTTAAAATATCTAGTTTGTTTTTGAGTAAGTCAGCCATAAAAAACTGGTTAGTTATGGCTGATTTGATGGGAACTGGGTTGTAAGTGCACTTGTTAAGAATGTGAAATGATATGAAAGAAATGGTGATGGGATTATGGCTGATTCCTGGTTGAATGTCGGCTCTGGATGGTTTTTCAGGGATATCGGTGGGACATTCCGGGTTCAATGGGACATTCATGGGGATTGTACTGGCTATGATTGTTTGGGGGTTATGGGATTAATGATGATTAATGACTCTTCATGGCTATTTTCATGGCTAGTCATGGGATAATTGGATAAACATGAGAATTGATGGCACATTTATTTGACGTGACGTTCATGGTATGTGAGTGGAATATACACTACAAATACAAGAAATGCCACTTGAGCACGCTTAAACCCCTGTTGATTGATGACTGAAGGAGACTACAGCCGGAACCTATCTCTGGTTGGTGGTTTCAAACATGTTTTATTTTCCATAATATATGGGATAATCCTTCCCATTCACTATATAATATTTTTCAACATGGTTAAATCCACCAACCAGATGATGATGATGATGATGATGATGATGATGATGATGACGACGACGATGATCATGATGATGATGATGATGATGATGACGACGACGACGATGATGATGATGATGACAACGATGATCATGATGATGATGATGATGACGATGATCATGCATGAACCTGATTGAACCTGATTGAACCTGATTGAACCTGATTGAACCGGGAATCCCTGCTGAGGGACCGGTGTCATGACTGTCATGACCATGAATGACCGCGAAAAATTGGATTCTATAGTCTATAGTCATGAACATTGGATCATAGTTATGTAATCTGAATTCTACTTTCACAATCTGATGAACTGTCCAACTACCATACAAGTACGGGAATGTGGGTCAATACAGGTACTGAGTATTGAATCACATTGTTTACCAGAGGGTAATTGAGAATGCTATACCGCCAGTTTCTGCTGAACTTGCGAGTGGTGTATTGGGGCAATCGACTGGAGGTTCAAAAGATCACTAGATATCAAGCCGGGAGTGAGATAGTATTGATATGGAGACTCTCCAGTAAGGTAAGATAGAAATCGAAACTGGCCATGGATTATTCATGGTATTATCATATTTAGTTATTTAAATGGTGATGTTCCATAGCTATGTCAAATTACCAGATTGATCTATGTAGGTTCACGAGGATCATGAACAAAACAACGTGTAATCAGAAAAAAAAACAAATTACTTTACTTCGTGTGATCCCCACCATGACATTTATACATTTTCTTACTGGCAAATCTTCTGGCATTCTATCTGACATATCTTCTGACATTCTATTTGGCATTCTATCTGGCATATCTTCTGGCATATGTTCTGGCATATCTTCTGGCATATCTTCTGGCATTCTATCTATCTTCTGGCATTCTATCTGGCATATTCTATCTGGCATTCTATCTGGCATATCTTCTGGCATTCTATCTGACATATCTTCTGGCATTCTATCTGGCATTCTATCTGGCATATCTTCTGGCATTCTATCTTCTGGCATTCTATCTGGCATATCTTCTGGCATATCTTCTGACATTCTTTCTGACATTCTTTCTAACTTTCTTCTGCACATTCTTTGTCCCATATCTTCCTACATGAGGTCCGGCAGGGAACACTTGGCATGGATACCCGCGGTTGAGGTCCGGCAGGGAACACTTGGCATGGATACTCGCAGATGAGGTCCGGCAGGGAACACTGGGCGTGGCTGGTCGTGGTTGAGGTCCGGCAGGGAACACTGGGCGTGGCTGGTCGTGGTTGAGGTCCGGCAGGGAACACTGGGCGTGGATGGTCGTGGTTGAGGTCCGGCAGAGAACACTGTGGATCGCGGGTCGCAGTTGGGACGAGGACGACGAGGACGACGAGGACGACGAGGACGACAAGGACGACAAGGATGACAAGGAGGACGAGGAGGACGAGGAGGAGAGGAGGAGGAGGAGGAGGACGAGGCAGGAGGAGGCAACTGACATAAAATCTAACAACCCTCACCTGGCAGGTGGGGAAAAACAGGATAATGTCAGTTGACTCTATATCTTCATATTCATATTGTCAGTAGTTCATGTCTTACTTCAGCAGATATTACTTTGACCCAAAGAGTCTGGCATCGATGATTCAGCGTGGTCGGTCAACCATTGTGGTGAGGTCAAGATTGTGATTGCAGAGTTGATTGGTGCAGAAAGGACAGGTGTCAAATTATGTCAAACTGACAGCCTTCGACTGCTTTTACCGTTTGTTACCAGTACGAAGTGAAGATGAGTCGAGAAATGCAACCCCTCAAAGCCGAGATTTGGTCAGTGTTTGAATTGAACGAACATTGCTTTGTCTGTGATGAATGAATGACCTATATTCAGGTGCAATACAACTGGTTGGTGGTTTGGAACATTTTTTTCACATATTGGGAGTGTCATAATCCCAACTGACGAACTCATATTTTTTCAGAGGGGTAGGTTGAAACCACCAACCAGACGTCGCTCCGTTTGATGAATGTTTTACAGCGTCAAACAGGTCACGGAACCTCCTTTGAAATTTTGGATCTCTTGATTTTGGGGTACTCCGAAGCGAGTAATCAAAGAGAAGCAAACACGAAGAGAGGAAGAAGGTTTCTTATCAGGTCTTGGGATTGTTAGCTGATATCTATATATAGATATGGGTATGGGTCAATACCTATTAATACCATTTTCAGGGGAATGAACATCCATTTACCAACTATTTTGATGTTCACCAGGGGTACCAGGGTTTTGACACACTGCCATACATATAGTAACTATATAGCACATAAAATTTTAACCTTTTCAATGGGAATTTCAGGATCCCAAAATGGAGGTACTGTACCATATAAGGCCATATGTTGTGGGGATATTCCCTTTCATAGGCCTTATATAGGCCTTATATATAGTAGGTACCTCCAATGAATCGGTTCCTGAAATGGCCATTGATCTTTCACTGATTCTCGGGTTTATTGAAGGCCTGTTACAGGGCGCAAATTTTCACCGTGATGCCGAAAAAAGAGAAGCCTATCCATTGGAAGGACACTGGGCCTCAGAATCGAAAATCGCGTCATCACAGCCTTTACCAAACCAGAGGCTGGGGGAAAGTGAGATGCACTGAAGATCGTCCGGATAAATCGGGTCACTGCGATTGATTGGTTTTTTAAGGATGTTTCAACATGTTTCAAATCATTAAAAAAAAAAAAAACAAACGCTCATTACCGTGGATTCTTACGACTCTGGTGGGGAAATTGAGTTATTTGACTTTCAGGGTCTTGGATGTACCATAGTTGTGCGTATAAGTGTGTGCTTTGTTACATCCCGTATTTCGACATTTAGATTATATAGTATATCCCTGGACTTGGTTGGCCCAGTTTACGGCAGGCAGGGAAGCTACCGTCGGACCCTTCAGCACATAGTTGGATGTTTCATAGAATAGATGTAATTAATATATGATGTTTCATATATAGATTGATATATATATATACATTTGTTGTATGTTTGTCATAGGTATGTTATAATTATTTGTAGTGTTATATCACATATATATATATACATGCATCATAAATCCCAAAACAAACTATGGTCAAGGTGGTATGGCCAAAGTACATCATTTCATGGCCAGGTTTGGACCGGTATCAGCATCATGGTTTTCCAATGTTAAAAGATCAGTGTTTACTGGATGACTACCCTCTGGCAAACGTTTACATAACTATGGAAAGATCCACCCATTTTTAATAGGGAAATCAACTATTTCTATGGCCATTTTCAATAGCAAGCTGTTTGTTTTTACCAGAGGGTATCTATGTAATCGTCCAGATTCACCCATCCCATCCATCCCCATCCTGGGTAGAGCATTTTGGCCCATAACTAACCACTGGTGCCATTCCCATACCCAACATTGAAGATATTGGATATATATATATATTGTTTGATGATGAATATTTCTTTATATCGACAGCTTATATATATATAGGACAGTATAGTATAATATAGTTCAATATAGTAGAACAGAATAGAATATAACATAATACAATAAAATTTATATGATATTATATCATATATTACACATTGAAACTACAATGTAGGTATCATGTACTATATAGGTATCATATATAGATACTGAAACCATGTCCTTTTGTTTAATCAACATTTATAGGTTTTGACATCCATGCCTTCCTTTGGACAGTTAACATTAAATGGTGGATTGTCCATATCTATGTAATTTTAGCCATGAAACACCGCCACGATCAGCGGAACTCATGTTTTCTGAGTGCTGAAGTCAAGTAAATTCCCGAAAATTTGTATAAAATCGCCGCTTTGAATTCGTAACATAGGATTGGGTCGTCAAAAATATGATGAAATTGGGGTGACCATGATGATCTTCAACATTTACACAGGACGGAAACATCACCTCCCGATTCCCTCCGAACACCACCTAAAAAAAAAAACACTCAAAAACGGATAGATTAAACACAACCGATGTTCCTAAGTTTCTGTATATCAGGGTTTCCCAAAACAGACCGGGCGCCGATCTCGGTGGTGTCGCCTACCAGAATTTGTATTTATTCCTTAAATCCTATACATATATATATATACATGTTATACATATATAATCATTTATATATATATACACATGTTATACACATATACTCATTTATATATATGTATGTATGCATATGTATATATTATAAAGATATGATATTTGTTGGTTTCAAATTCTATTGTTGGTGAATTTCCAGTTCAATCAGGCTGCACGCTTTGGCTGGCGCCTGGGTGACGTGATCCAGGTGGAGATGGCATCAGAATGTGGAAAATGGATGAACATGGGGATTGGTTGGAACATATATTGTGTATATTAACACACATTAACGTTACTGAAAATATTGGAACATCTCTGGAATTTACATCTATAAATATTGGAAAATGACTATGGAAATCGACCGTCCATGGAACAATGGCAACAATAGAACTTCTCGAAAAAAATCTATGAAAGGTGGAGTTCCCATTGTGAAGAAAACGATGGTATTCGAAAAAAAATGACAATAACGACAATTTTTGTTGTTCTATTGGAATTTGTGTTGATTATATATTGATTGTGTTTTTTTCCCATTGTGAAGGCAGCCCATTCAAATTGACACTTATGAACATTGTGTGGGGATGATGTATTGATGACTGTGAACTCACTCACTGGATTCGATATGATCCTTTTGGAAACGGAAATTCGAAAAGCTACGTCGGCTACGTACGTGTCGTTGTGATTCAAAGATCCACCGGTATCCACCGGTATCTTGGTTGATTTTACAGACTGAAATTCTGCCTGTTCGACAAAAGTTGTTTTTTAGATCTTTGGGCCATCTTACCCGGCCTGGTAAACGTTTACAAAAAACTATGGAAAGATCCACCCATTTTTAATGGGAAAACTCACTATAAATGGCAATTTTCAATAGCTATGTTAAATTACCAGAGGGTATATTCCCATTAAATCCCATTAAATCCCATTAAACCACCAGAGGGTAAAGTCCGAAAGTCAGATCACCCTCGTTACGTGAATCCACGGTGAATCCACGGTGAATCCAGCCAGGCCTGGTCATGATTGGCATATTGGCCATGCCAACCATCCGACTGGCGAAACAAAAAAAACTAAATACTTCAGTATTTATCATCAACTATCCCAATGAAACAAATATGTTGGTGGCAAATGGAGGCAAAAACTTGCCATCTACAGTTGAATCATCGCATATGTTGATGGCAAAACCGCCATACATCGCAATTCAAATCTGCCAAATCTACAAAATCTGCCTTGGACACAGGCAGTGGCCCGTCAGCGCACACCCACACAGGCGCGGCGACCGATGGACCGTGAGGGTTCATGGCTGGTCCAGGGATGAGATCTGGGTTGTTGAAGTTTTTCGTATGGTTGGACTATGGGTGTGGTACCTGACTGGTTGGTGGTTTCAAACATGACGTTTATTTACCATTTCATATATGGGATAATCCTTCCCATTGACTTTCATATTTTTCAAGATTGTTAAAACCACCAACCACCTGAAAATGGTGGAGAATGATTCCCCCAGATCAGCCAATGCTTGGTTTTCTTCGCGGGGATTATGATGATCAACTAGCGGACCGGCTTTTCAATCAAGACCCATATGGGATTTATCCGTCAAAATATGACATGCGCGGAACTAGCATTTTTTTGTTGACTATGGTTACAAAATGTTACAAAGCCGGTGTTTTTTTTCCGACAAAACTGTATCGCTCCTAATAAAAGTGGTGGATTTCATCATGAATCACTTGGAATTGGCCATAATGAGCTTGAACCAGCAACCAAATCCATGATTTTGGGATGTATCATGATTCATGATGTATGATTTTTCCGAAAAAAAGGGTGCCCCATATGGGTTGGTCTGAAAATAGGGAATACCCAGCAAATGGTCATTTTAATGGTAAACTGATGATAAACCATCGGATTTAGAGATATACCATATTTTCAGACAAACCCAGCTTGCTGGAATGAACATCCGCGACGATCAGCGATTTGGATTTTCGATAGCAAAGTGGTATGGTTCAGGCAAGGAACACCAATGGAACCTGCAAATTTGCGCATTTCTGGTCGGTTTTGAAGTAGATTTGGGAGTTCTGACAGAGAAAGAGTTCAGCATGCATCTATATAACCGAGAAGCCATCCGTACGGCTCGTGGGCATGTCCTTTCAGATTCTTCAATCTTGACGCCCAGAAAATCCTAATATTCGGACTGTCAAAGTGTTTTTTGGTCACGTTTTCGCGAGACTAAAATTGCTCTTGGAGAAGGCCCTGTCCTTTCGCTCACCAATGGTGCTTCGAAATGATAGGGGAAGCCCCTGAAAGATCTGAAAGTTCAGCTGTTTAATGTGGTATAATGTGGTTTAGTATATAGTTTTAGTAAGTTTTAGTTTTCTCACCATTTATACCACATCAAAAACCACATCAAAACGATCAAAAACCATGTTTCTTCCAGAGATTCAAGGGGTGCCTTTCCTGCCTTGAGACAGGAGGTGCTACTGGAGAAGATCGGAAGCTTCAAAGAGGCGGATCCAGACCTGGCCTGCGAACAGGATGACCTGGTGGTGATTGCCGAAGGATGTGAAGAGAGTGATGTGCCGAATGATGTGCCGAAAAGCATGGTGGATCTATGGAAATTAACATGGTATAACTATGGAAAGAACAGGCAATAACTTTAGGAATAACTTTAGGTATATGGGGGATAACAATGGAAATGTGAAATAGCATGGAACAACTTGGCAAACTTTAGCTCAACCACATTGGTGAAGATGTGTCCAGAAAAAAGATGGGAATCCAACCGAGATGATCTGGTTGGTGGTGAAAGAACATGTTTTATCCCAACGAATCTGGATTGTTTGTGGACATTTCTGGTTACCATAGTGGTTAATAGTGATATGAATAGTGATTTTAATAGGCTATAAACCAACAACAGGAATAGATTGGGAATGGAATGTCATCATCCCAACTGACGAACTCCATGATTTTTCAGAGGGGTTTTACCACCAACCAAGATGATTGGTGGTGAACAAAACATGTTCACTTCCCTCCTGTTTCGATGAGTTGTTCCTCAACAGTTGCCCAAAGTTCTTTGGAAAGGCCTATCCATAAGTCTTATTGCATGAGACACTCTGAGAATCCAGGAGATCAACAATGAGATTCCTGATTTATGACATTTATGATTTATGCTTATCACAGATCCTGCCACATTGAATTCAGCATACATTTCTCAGTGGAAAGTTGATTGATACAAGAGCTTTGATGGCTTCATCCTGTTGAAATCTTGGGCCGCAAATCGAAGAGATCTCCTGTGGCAAGCTTTGAAGAAATACAGTAGTACAGTGACCTGTTTTGGTGGCATCTCCACTTGTACATCCCACATTTCATTGGATTTGTTGGTTTAAGGGACAATATGCACACATATGCCAGATATGCATACATATGCCACATATTTCATGCATTAAAATAAAGTAGTGTCTCCCATAGATTTTCCCTTCAACCAACCACAATGAATGTAATCTTTGTTGATCATATCTCCATCTTTGTTTGTCAAACCCACTATGGTTGTCATTTGGGGATGGGTCAAAACCCTGGTACCTAGTGAACCCCAAACTAGCTGGTAAAAGGATGTTCATCCTACTAAAAATGTATCTATAGGTATTGACCCATACCCATTTGTTTCTTGCTTGTATTTCCCCAAAACAAATGCCGCCCCCTGGCCTTGGCCAACGCTGCGTTGCAGAGGCGCTACGAACGAATGGCACTCCCATGGAATTCCTGGTTGAGAGGTTAGGCGCCAGACCCAACTGAGGGCGGATATCCAGTACAGTTTGGTAGTTACGTCGGCCCCTAGAAAGTTACGAGTGAAGTTTGCCAGTTCTGTTATTGTGGATGGATTTAAGTGGGAAAAAGATGGAAAAAGTATAAACATATACGATCATATACGTATGAATAATAAAGGATGTGGAGGAAGAAACCATCGAAACCACTTTAGGAGTTCACCTTGACTTTTTTCTGATTGATTGATGGGAAGAAGTCAGAAAAGAAAACCACTCAGAACTGGCCAAAAACTGTGATGGGAGAGAATGGAAATTTCTTCGCACCTGGTGCATTAGTTCTCAACCTTGGTCCAGACTTGTATGACTTGTGGCTGCCGGCTACAGCCCGAACTGCTTCTATTGTTCCATGAACACTTCTGGCCGTTCTATCCCATACAGTATGACTTTCACAGCCGCATTGCTCACATGCATGAGCCTGCGCTGCAAGCAAGCGCGCATCATGCTAAAAAGAGGTGACAATGCGCGCCACAAATCCTTTTGCCGTAGTTCGGGCTTTGTTGTTTTCATGAGCTGAGAAAGACTTCAAGTAAATCTATGTCTCGTTTATATCATAAGTTCATGTTAATGTGCTTCCTCTTAATGACTTGGAATAAAACTCTCCACCCTAAACACCAAGAGCAATTGATATATTTGACATGTAAAAGAGGTAACATCTTGCCCAGATAGCCTCATAGCCTAGCGCACAAGGGATCCTTGAACAAGGACCTTCAAAGAGGCGCTTTTTTGAAGCCCCGGTTTTCGACGGAAACCACACCAGCGAGGTGAAAATGGGTGAGGACAGACACAGCGCGGACCAATACGCAGCAGGATGGCTGGATTGTGTTTCGTCTCGTTGTTGATACATGTTTTATTACTGATTGAAACTGATTGAGCCATATTTGCAACAGTCGATTGTCACTGTTGTCCATGACAAACGGAAGATACCTGAGACATATTAGCTTGTGGCAGAACCAAGACCCAGTAGGAGTCGGGCAAAACAATGTGGCTACATTCAATTGCGAACAGAACGCCTATAGAATAATTTAATCTGTCATCTTGATCATTATTTTACAAATAAGTCTGATTGGTGGTTTCAAGCATTTTTTATGTTCCATAGTATATGGGATAATCCTTCCCATTGACTTTCATATTTTTCAGAGGGGGTAGCTCAACCACCAACCAGAAGTGGCATTGTCATCATCTTCATTATTATCATCATCATCGACCCAAAGTGATCTGACTTCTGATTGATGCCGCCGCATATCATTTGTTGAGATGCGCGGATTCCCATTTTGCAGGGCAAGCCACAGTCAGATAGATCTATGATGACCTTTGTGTAGGACACACTATATGATACTATGTATCATAATGTGTATATACATATACGGTAACGACATTTAAATATGTGGAGGGCGGGCCAGACCGCGAGGCCCCGGAGGTAGTATGAAATTTCAATTCGTATATTTAAATGTAGCTACCGTATGTTTAAATGAATTGGATTCAGTATGTTTAAATGGCCGGGCGGGCCAAGGAAAACCTTCCCGGAGGTAGTCTAAAATACCTCTTCGTATATTTAAGAGTCCGTATATTTAAATGTAGTTACCGTATAATTAATTATAATTAGATTAATCTATATTTCTATACACATAAAGTAGCATGATAAAGCTATAATGTATACGCATGTAAACACATATTTCAGATATTCAGACCATATCAGCAATTTCCCTTGACTTGACTCGGGGACTCGGGAAGTCACAGGACATGACCACATGTTCGCTGGCCCGTAGCTTCCGTTTCAGCGACAACATCGACGCTTCAAGGGTCCGACCTGAGTCCAGGAATAGCCTCATCCAGGCAAGGCTATGAATTGACAGTGTGTTTTTTTTTCCGAATTGTTTTAAAAATGCGTGGGATATCCGAAACAAACGCACATTCTGTAGTCTGAGATCTTCAATCCTTTTGGGTGAAACTGTGTCTTTAAACATGACGTTTTATTTCGTATGATGGTCCCGTATGGGACTGTCATGGATTGTCATTCGCCAAAATGGGGCAAAATGGGTACTGGCATGAGCCAAATCCCTTGTGGCTATTTCACATTTTTCTATCCAAGATGATCCAAGATGGCTCTTTTGGAGGTTAGCCTCTGGTCAACTAGTTGAGTTTGCGGACTGGAAAATCACCGTTTTATAGCTGGGTAAATCACAGTTTGCACTAAATGGGCCATCTATACCATAGCTATGTAAGAAATTACCAGAGGGTATGTTGTCGGTGAGACAACTGATATCCACCATCCACCAAGATCCACCAAGATCCACTAAGTCACTAAGCATTAGTATGCAATAGTCATATCCTAGTATAAGATGTTAGCCGTTATCGTTTTCTTAACCACCCAGATATGTTTTTTGTTGTTTTTTATATGTTGGTGCTATATCCCATCTGCATTCATTTTCATTCATATTATATACTCGTTACCTTGTTAAACCTTATACGATTCCATGAACACCTACTAATTAGCCCAGATTAGCCCAGCTTTGCAACCCAACAGCGGAAGGTTCCAACAAGGTTCCAGGACTGTTCCGGTTCTTCGGTGCAAAAAATCGCGTCACCAGTCCCCAACAGAGTGCTGCAGAAATTACCATGGCCTCACCGTGATGTCACTGGAATGCTGGTTAGCAAAGGGGAATCATCCCCAACTGGTTGGTGGTTGACCTACCCCCACTGAAAAATATGAGTTCGCCAATGGGAAGGATGACATCCCATATATGAAATGGAAAAAAAAAATGTTCCAAACCACCAACCACACAAAAGATCCAAACTTTCCAAGTTGTTGCATTTTCATCTTCATCCAAAAAAAATACTTGAGAGGAGGAAAGGGACTGAAGAACAGAGTCAATTATTCATCAAGTGTTGCTGTAATTCTTCAAAAGTCAGGACAGATGAACATCACGCCTCCTGAAACTCTCTGAGACTTCATGAAATCCCGTGAAAATTCATTAAAACATATCAAACGTATCCCATGATATCTCACTAAATCCCATCAAAACTTAAAAACCCCGATGTTTTTCTCTGGTTGGTGGTTTGGGACATTTGGATAATTTTCCCATGTATTGGGAATAATCATAATCCCAACTGACGAACTCATATTTTTCAGAGGGGTAGGTCAACCATGAATCAGATTATAATTTGAGATATATAACTATCATATATATATATATCATATCAAAGTGTATTTGGATATATATTATATAACTATCAGATGTTTTCCTTATTGTTCAATGTAGTTTTGTGGTTTTCGAAACGCTTTTCAGTGGCCTTCCAGACATCCAAGACCGACATCCTTCCTTCGCACAACATTCGCAGGACAGCGTGATGATTTCGAGTCCCCAGATGCCCCTGGTGCCCCAGCCATTTGTGCCTCGGTGAGATACGAAAACATTATGATCTCGCATATAAAAGAGGCCTATTTATGTAGACACAATCATATATAATTGTGTATCTATATAATCATAAATATAAATATATACATATATATGAGCAACCGTAAAAACCCCGGCAATACTAATAATGTATTCGACGGACATTGGTTTATGGAAATTGATGGAAATTGTTAAAAACACGAGGTAAGTAAGCGATGGGACCTTCCCAAATTAGCGACACCCCTTTTCAAGGTTATGTCATCATATTTCTCTAATATCCACATTAGCGATACCCAAATATCACATATTATTCACAGTTCATCACATATATATATATATAATATATATATATATATTTATTTATAAATGCAGCAGTTTCCTGCAAGCGATACCCCCCAAGTTTACCATATATCATTATTGTACAAACGTGTGGTAAGCGATGGGACCTTCCCAAATTTGTGGATGTCCTTTCCGTGAACCTAGGGTTTTCACAATCGCTCATATAATTATATATATTTATTATGGATGGTACAGATATGTTGTAGCCCCCCCGAGGTCTACCTTTAATGTCATTTCCATGGTATTTACGGTGTTTTTGAAAACCATTTATGTCATTTGTAGTTGTTCCGTCCTGGCTGAGGTATCCACTGACAGGAGCCCCAAGCCGAAAGCGAGAAACACCGGCGAGCCCCAAGATGTGGCTGATGGGTTAACACTTGAGCCGTGAAAGCTGACGAAATTCCGATTGTTGATGGTTAAATATTTGGTTCATCCAGATCCTTGGGTATCTTGACCCCATAGTAGAACCATCAACTAGCGATTTTGCCCAAGATTTTCTGGTCGCTGATACCCAGAAAGTATGTGTTATGTTCTATTTGACCTGGGATGATGTGTTTTTTTCCAGGTATATGTACTGGTTGATCAACAAGAAACGAGCTGGTTGGTGGTTTGGAACATTTTTTATTTTTCCATATATTGGGAATAGTAACCCCAACTGACTTTCATATTTGTTCAGAGGGGTTGTTTAACCACCAACCAGTGATGTATTCGTGGTCTCAATGGAGAAACCACGGTGCATCCTGTGCATCCGAACTAGCGCCCCGCCGAGGAGCCCCATGAAATCCGATGAGGTGCGGGCGAAAGAACTTGGAAATTCATGGCGCCCAACATGTTGTTAGGTGCTGACAACGATTGCAAAGATGATCATCCAATATATACATATATATATATATATATTGTTAAATATATATATATATATATATTTATTGTTATATATATATAATTATATTTATAATTATATATATATATACTTAACAATATATATATATATATATATTTAACAATATATATTATATTTATTTATTGTTAAATATATATATATATATAATTATTTTTATAATTATATATATACTTAACACTATATACATATATATTTAACAATATATATTATATATATTTATTGTTAAATATATATATATATAATTATATTTATAATTATATATATATTTAACACTATATATATATATATTTATATTTAACTAGATATATATATATAATTATATATATAATTATATAT